CAACTTTTTGGAAGACCCCGAGAAACAGCCGATTTCGACATATGCATTATGAACTAATGGCAAATTATGAATTGGCTCACCCTAATCAAAATATCAATAATTTGAGGCCTTAACTATTATGCCTGAAATCAGTGAATCAGTCTACTAAAATCTTTAAAATCATATGGAATACTATTAATATTTATGTAATTGTACATAAATAGAAAAAAGTTATTATTAACTTTACGTACTTTGCCGATTGACCTTGATCTTCGCTTATCAGAGACAACAATCAGTCAGAGGCTTTAAATAGAATACGCATAATGCTGGGACAGCCCAGCAAGTTGAACAGATAAAATCCATACGCCGTAGATTCCATAAATTATTGTCCGCTATAAACTATTCGAGAAGTGTTGTAAAAGCTTTTTAATGCCCAATTTACAGCTGTTATCAGATATGCCGGCATATCAGCAGATAGGTGCACATGGGTACATCTACTTATATACATACATACATGTATATGCATCATATATATAGTTAGATATTTTTAAGGTGAAACGCCAGACCTTATCTTATCATTTATCACTTGTCACTGATACACTGATATACGTATGCGCAGCGTTCTTGTTTTAATATCTCACTTCAACTATGCTACATATATGTATGTACGTGAATTATTCCTTCAATTAGTTGGTAACTAACGTATTTAGTTAAGTGACTTACCGCCTTCCGGCTCTGAGTCATCTATGTAGATCATTTTTCTCTGGCTGCGTCCCTTGGCGCTGGGTTCACGTAGACGAGTGCCCGTCTTGGTGGCTTGTACTTTACAATAAATATGTAGGTGTATGTAGGTATAGATATATTCAATATATATTTCTATATATTTATGAGCGTTTTTTGTTTGCACACACTTCGAAGCTTTTTGCTGGTATCTATAATATTTCGTACAAATTTCTTTTTATAACACAAAACATTTCGTTTTTGCGTTGTGGCAAAAATAAATGATTTTTTCTTTTGACAGAACTTCACTTCACAGCGAGAGATTTTGTTGTTTTGATGTTATTTACGTTGTTATTTGTTGTTCTCGTTTATTTGTGGCTCTGCTACGCACTTAGACGAAATGACACAGGATTATTTGGGATACTTTATATTTTTGCCTGACTTGTTGATCGATACACGTTGCGTATGCGTAATATTAGCAAAATAATTGTAGCTAACTTCCTGGGTTATTTCTTTGAACTGGTTCGGGTTGTGGCTGTGGCTGTGGCTGGGGCTGAGGCTGCCTTTTGATTGCGTGCTATTGTGTCATCGTCATCGCGAACGAGCGTTTAGCATCAAACTGTTTTTGGCCTGCGCCACATTATTTGATTTGGGGCTTCGCGTTGCCAATAATTTTTGTTCTTTTGTTGCTTTTCGCTTTTCGCTTTTGCTTTTGCTTTTGGCTTTTTGCTTTTGGTTATTGCCTATGTGTGTTGCGCTCTTGGGCTCTCAATTATAAATGTGTTTTGCCTGATAGCTGGCAGCCTGGCAGGCAGCAGGGGCAGGCAATGCGAAGGGGCCGGCACGACTTGTCGCCGATCGACTCGACTCTGACTCGAGTCTCCGAGTCTCTCAGGCTAGCCCAGTGCCAGTGCCAGTGCCAGTGCCAGCGCCAGCACTCGCGAGCGTTTTTCTATTTATAAATAAATCACATATAAAAAAAAAATTGAAAAGGGAAAGATACAAATACACTAGTTGCTGCTGCTCTGTAGTTCTATCTGTATCTTTATCTGTATCTTTGCCTGTTTAGTTATAAAAATAAATTGCAAAACAATTTGTTTGCTGCTCGGTCTCTTTCTCTCTCTCTCTCTCTCCCTCTCTCTCTCTCTCTCTTTTTGCGGCTTTTATGTGGTAAGCGAATGGAAATGATTTTCCCTACTGCCGCTTAGCACATTTTTGTAGTATGTAAACTTTTTTATATATCGTTTTTTTCTTTGCCAAGTTTTTGCCCACCTAGTTGCCGTCTAGTTATGTGCTTATATATACATCTCTATATATTTTCATGAATATTGCCGGGTATTTGCTTCCTATTGTCCCGCCCAGTCGCCTCTAATCTCTCTGCTGCCAGTTCGTTTTTTTCCGACTCGCAACTTGTTGCCATCGTCAGCTGCATTTTCGCTGTGGGCACGTTTTTTCTCCCTTTATTCTTTCGGGAAGTAGCTTTTATTATATCTTTGACCTTCGTTAAAATTTGGCTTATCAACTATAAATATTGCTATAGGTTGTCAATACGAAACTAAATCTATTTTGATTTTTCGATTGTTTTTGTTGTTATTTTACGTTCTTGTGAAATGAAATGCATTAATAAAATTGGTAAAAGTTTTTTTTTTTCATTTTTATCAAAACCAAAGAAGATGATAATTATCTATCAAAGATAGTTAAATCTGTTATTTAGTGTACTTTTCTTAGTTTCAATGTCCATCATGATAACTTTGAACTAGATTACAATCATGACTAGAGAAACACTCTATCTCAATGTGAATTTGGATCTAGTCAGAGCAGTCTAGCAGTAGGACTGTAATAAGAAGCTACGAGACTCAACTACCGAATTCCGCACATTCCTGAATCCGCTGAGGTCTCTTTCTCTTTGTATTTGTAGATCAAGTGTGAATTATAAATATTTGAAAAGTTCTCGAGACATCAGCAGGCACATTATATGGGCCGCATTAAATTAAATTACGCTTTTCTATATTTATATGGGTTAACATCATGGCCGATAAGAGCAAGCTCACACACCCCCCACACAATTCCTGTGGGCTTGACTATCTTATCAGACGGAAGAATGCTTAATTGCCGGACGAGCGGCCAATAAATGCGTCATCCTAGTAATGCAGATAAAGAAAGCTAAGAAACATGCAGAGAGAGAAAGAGAGAGAGAGAGAGAGAGAGAGAAAAGATTGAGAGACAGGTGGAGTAAGCATTCGTAACTACAGATGGACTGCATTCTGGCTCTAATTGGGTCGCTTTGTTGCAGGCGTCCAACTTAAATTGCTTTAAAACGTAAACAACAATACGAACTAAGCCGACAGAGCATAACATAGTCCACCGCTCGCCCGAAGCCCGGCCAATGCAAAGAGAGGAAGAGAGAGTAGAAAAAAACACGTTGCGTATACGCCATGTGGTCGGACTTCAGCCCAGAGTGGACAGCAAAAGCAAATAAACACAACGCTGTCTGCCGACGTGTTTCGACGCGTTTGCGGCTGTGAACAGGAGTCGACTGGAGGGCACTGCTTTAAAGCCACGGCAGGAAGCGAGCAGAGCTGAGGTGAGCCGGAGAGGAGTGGTCGCAGAGGGGTTGGCGTGGCACTAAGCCACGTTTTGATTTGCAAAAGGTCCGGCGAATGCAAGAGGCTTTGATGCACTCTCTAAAGTGACTTGGTCCAAGGCAAACGTTTTAGTCCAGCTCGAGCTTTGTTTTAAATAATGCAAATCCCTTAAATGCGCTAAACGGAGCGAACTTCAGCTCGGTCTCCGCATAGAATGTTCCTTTTTTTTTTTTTTTTTTTTTTGTGGCTGTCTTTCACTTAAAAATCGAATCGAAAATCGAGCACACGGCACGTTTTTGTTTTCCTGTTTCGCAGTATTTGTTGTTGCTGTATTTTGCTTCCGGCCGTTTAGCTAGGCGTTGTCCAAATGCTTTTCGTGATCAGAAAAACAACTTTTTGTTTGTTATTTAGTGTGCACGAAATCATTTAGCGAGTGCAAGCGCCTTGCATTCACAATTGTTTTGCTTGTTATTTACTTTTATACTTTTCTGTTGCTATTATTATTTTCTCCTCTTCTCGTCTCTTTTTTTTGTCGCTGTGTATTTTATTTGTTTTCTAAAAATGTTTACATATCAATGCTGCACAGTTTTTTGCACATATTTTGATAGCATTTTTACACGGATTTTCGTTGTCGCTGCACTCCGCACGGCTGCTCATTGCACGCTGAACTGCTCGGAAAATATTTAGTTTTTCACAATTTCAATCAGGCTTTCGGGAGAACTTTTTTCGTATGTGTATTTCGGGCTGCCAACGCCTCGTGGCGCTATTTTCGTATTGTTCGTGCACATTTTTCGAAACAATTTTCGTTTCTGTTGTCCGTGCGTTTTTTGTATTTTGATGACCTGTAGGAGGAAATATAGAGGCTCGATTGAAATACGATTTATCTATACACATTTTGAAATTCAAATGTGAAGCATATACTAGCGCAAAGTAATCTACGAATGTACAATGTGTACATACAGCTCATAGTCTATATATCCGTTATCTACGGACATCACTTTAATATTAAATTACCATCACTGGGTATTAATTCGTCGTTCATTTGCTACAAATACGTTTCTCACTTGTTTTGTAATTTTGATGCGGCTCTGCGGAGTGGGGAAGGGAGAGAGCAGAGTGCAGACTGCGTGCTGTTGGCGCAACATAAAGCCAATGTGTTTACCGCGCCAAACTTCTTTGGAGCTAATTATAAACCGAATCTGTGGGCATTGCATGCAACACAGCAATGGACCATTAGCCCCAATTCTATGTGGGCGTGCGCTCCAGACGCCTTCCAGCATGTTGCTATACGTGCGACGTAGCAGGAAGCTCAATGTGTGCCACTGAGTTTTTTCGCTCTAGAATTTTTAAACAAGTTTTTCGGCTCTACAGGCTGTCGATATTTCCATTATATTTATTTGCAAGTTAATAAAACATAATTCAAAACACATTTGCAGTATATATAAATTTGATTGCCCATTAATAAAGGTCTAGCATATTTTATATGCGTCTAACATTTTATAGACATCGGATTCTTCAGATGCCAGCGCGGTCCTGTGGCGCAATGGATAACGCGTCTGACTACGGATCAGAAGATTCCAGGTTCGACTCCTGGCAGGATCGATTTTTTTATATTTTTTTTTATTTTTATTCAACTTATTTTTGAGCTATGAAGTAAAGCTTAGATTCTTAAAATAACAATTAGGAATTTAATAAAAAAAAATCAATTTAAATTTCTTAAAGTCACCTATTAAATCATTATGCAATTAGTATTTTCGGTTTTCTGTTATCTACACATCAAACTGTATGCTCAGCAAACTTTTGAAGTACTCTAATTTTCCAATCAGCAAAAAGTAATACTGCGCCCAACGTGGGGCTCGAACCCACGACCCTGAGATTAAGAGTCTCATGCTCTACCGACTGAGCTAGCCGGGCTGATTGGCCGCAACCCGCTAAAAATATTATACTATATAAATAGGTGAGTCCACGATGATTTAATAATATCTTGAGTTGTATAACTTACCTATTTAATTATTGTAATTATTTTGTTTTCCTTAGTTTCTATATCTGTATCAGTCTCTTCTGCAATTATCTCTCGCTGGCCTTGAAATACTCACACACACCCACACGCACAGATAGACACAATATTAGTGAGACTCTTTCTCTAACCACATGGCGTCTTCCATGTTGGCCATCTACTCTAATTCATTCTGTTCGCCTTTCATCTCAGCGTGTGCTTTTCGGGCTGTTGTCTTAGCCGCAATTATTTTTTCTGGGTCATTAATGGGAAATATGCAAAGTATGCAGACAAATGGCAATATAAATTATTTAATTTCCACAAACATATTTTCGCCTGAATTTTATGCTATATGGAAATGTACACACACACACACAGAGAAACACACATACATCTTATATAAATATTTCATTCGTTGCTCTCTAAGGTCGTCGCCGAGTCGTTGACTGCAGCTGTGCTCGACTTTTGTTGTTGGTCTGGTTGGCGCCGCATTTTACGACAGTTCACGCACATAATAGCTTTGTATATAAAAAAAATATATATGTATTTATATAGATCTATATATATATATATATATGTGTCAGTGATGTCGCTGGCTGCTGCTTTATTATTAAAATTAGTGGCATTTGGCCTTTTGCAGCGCGTTGACAGCCAGAAATCAATGTTAACGTGGCCCGAAGCGCTACAAATTTATGAGTCTCGTCGGCCTTGTCGCTTGAACTTGTGTCAAAGTGGCACAATGACAAAGATGCGCAATCACAGTGGCCAGTAAATGCAACAGCAGGCTATAGCCACGGGCAGCAACAGTCTGTCCCAAAGTGACCCTCAAGGAGATTTCAATTGACACCCTGTAGAGCAGCACAGCATGAACGGGATATTAAGAATGGTGTGGTTAAGAAAATAAGCTAAGAATATGGCTATATGTGATATGGACTAAGAGCTAATGCTCTGTCTTTTAAGCAAAATTTCGTTTTAGATAGTTGGCGGAAGGTTAGTTATGATGGTGTGATTGGCTTTCTTGTCACACTTCGATAAATAAGTGTTCGGTCATTATCTTTACATTACATATTGAAAAATTGTAAAGAAAGCTTCAATTTTTTTTTTTGTATTTATTATAACTACGTTTATAGGGAGGCTAAACCTTTTTATGCAGTATGAGAATTTTAATCGAGGGTGCCTTACATTCGTCTATTTGCTTTGCCGTTTAAGCCTCGTTAAAGGTCTGGTTGCGAGTGGGCCTTGCGAGCAGGCTGTATCTCTGTATCTGCTTGCATGCTTTAATAACTTTACGATTTTGATTTAATTAGCATTTCATATATGTGTGTCAAATTTTTAATATACGCAAGAATAGATGGAGCGGTATTTTGTATTGAAATATTTGCGCAATTCGTGCAATTTTAAGTTTTGTTTTGTATTTTTCCAAATGGGAAATATAACACATTAATATGGTAGGAATAGCAAAATCCAAATATACTTACTCGAATTTATTTATTTAAACATTTTCCGTTATAAGTGCTTGATGGACAAGTTGGTTTCCATCATGCCACTTTAGTATTTATTGCCAGCTTCATTCGCTGCTGTTGCTGTTGATGTGGACGTGGATGTAGATGTTGTTGTTAATGTGGATTCGATGTGTTTTTTTTTTTTTTACGTGGCCTACTTCCGGCGGCTCTTGTTTACGTCTAATTGGGCTGGGTACGTAAACAAATGTTCAGGTAAGTATTTATAGGTGCTTTGGGTGTATTGAGTTGGGTTGGTGCTGTGGCTGCGTCAACGGCTAAAGAATTTCGCTTGATTTGCGCTGCAGATAAATAAATTTAATTGACATTTATGCCAGGCAGCTGACTGCTCGTTTATCATACAGAAGATACGAGAGAGCAAACATACATTTTAATAAAATGTATATAAAATTCAAATTATTGCCAGACGGACGGACGGACAGACAGATGGACGGCCGGACTTACGGATTTACGGACTGGTTTATGTATTTTGTGGTTCTTTCGCATTTCTGATCTGAGCCGAAGAACTTTTGTGGTTAACCGCAAAAACAATTTAATTTGATTGCCTTTTAAGTCCTTGGAGTATTATTCGGCTGTGGGGGAGCGCCATCCGCACGCCTGCCCTAATCCTTTTCGCAAAAGTTTCGTGTCTTGGCACGTATTTCCGGCACGCCCACACCTGAGAACTCAGTTGCCGCTACTGCTGCTGCTGCTGCTGCTGCTACTGCTGCTGCTGCCATGAATTGCAGAAAATTTATTTTACCACAAGGACTAGCTGCTGTTGCTGTTGCTGTTGTGGATGCTGTGTGGCCAACACGGATTTATGCCGAAAACAAACAAGTTTGCTTGTGTATTTCGATAAAACTTAAAGTCAGGCAATTCATTTATTGATAAATTTAAACATTCCTTTCAACCGAAAGGTCACTGCGATGAATCGGCATGCCAGAGTGTTTCACACACGCGCACATCTTCTGTGCACAAAGGCGAACAAAATAAATATTTATGAATTGCGCAAATGCCAACGCAAATGGCCAGTCCAAAGTTGATGACGTTACCCCTACACACCCACACACAAAACGCACCTAAACACACACACACGTGCACACATGCACATATGCACGCATACACGCACAGTGACAGATAGCGAGAGCGAGCGAAAGAGCAAATAAATTTAACCGCTGCGCTCAAAAGTATGCAATGCCAAAATGTGCTGCATCAAGAGATCCACGGCTTGGAAAATGTGTTGCATACTTTTAGCTGCAAATTGAAATTACTTTTCAAATGCAATCGCATCTACGAAAGCTGCTCAACGGCTGCAGCTTAATCAATTTGGTCCTTTTCAAAAGCTGTAAAATAAATAGATATAGTCAAATGCAGTAAAATCGTTTACATACATTTAAATTAAATATTTATCGTAAATTTACAAGCCAGGCGGAGTCAGAGAGAAAGAGAGGGCAAGCGAGAGAGTTAAAAATCTAAATGAAATTTGCAAAACACAAAATAAATTGCCTATGTGCTATCACTCACTTCGGCAAACTCTCTTAGCTAACCCAATTTAATTAAGTTTATTAAGAATGATTTAAGAGCTTGTTTGTAATTGAACGAATAAGCTGCAGTGATTGAAGTTTAAAATGTATGCCGTATTTTCGTGCGAAACGAAACGACTGCAGGCAACAAGATATAATTGAATTTCGTTCAGATGAACGAATATTAAGAAATAAAAAAAGTCTCAATAGCAGGGAAAATAATTCCGGTTGAAAGGTTCCTTGAGAATGTGACCGTTGCACCCTGTGGAGCTCCGTGTCCACAATTAAGCGCGTGCTTGCGCAATGTAATGCAGAGCAAACCAGAAAAAATATATGTAAATATATACATATATATTAAAAAACTGTATAAAATAAAATTGATGGCAAATGTTGCGCAGCAGCCATAAATTGAAAGCCAGACAAACAAAAGCTGAAGCGGCAAGGGAGCTCAGATGCCCTGCACAGGTGCCGGCAAAATCTCATCAAAAACGCAAAACCAAGAAAAATATTGAATGCAATTTTATTTGCCGCACGCATATGCAGCAGCATGTGGAGCACAGCTCAGCAGCAAGCTGCAACCGTATAGCGCTTCTTTTCGAGCTACTGCCTCATGGCAACTGAGACTGAAAGAAATATATCATATTGTTGCGCGTGTGTGTGTGTGCAGAACTATGCTACTTAGCGTCTGTTTGCATAGGTGAGCGACTGCTTATAAGTTGGCTGTCTTACATACGCACACGCTCGCCCAAAAAGAAATCGTATTTCCTGCTGCACACAATGCAGCTGAGCGTAAGGTGCAACCGCTCGCCGCACATTGTCATTGCAATGCGCTTGCCACTGCCACGCCCACCGCTCCTCTGACTGCTGTTGTTGTCAATTCAGAGCGTGCTGATGTTCGCAGTTCTCTGCAAAAAGACTCACGCAGCCATGGGTCTACCAGCTAACAACATGTCCCTAGCCAACCCAGCCACCCGATCACCCGACCACCTGGCTACCAGAGCCACCTGGTGGCTCCACCTGTCTACTCGTGTGTGCCTCTAAATGAGTTTACGTGCTGTTATGTGTGCGTTGCCACCCGTTGCCACACGTTGCACCCTCAGCAGATCCTGTTGCCAGCTCTGGCTCCTCTGCTATTTCTTTGTTTGTTTGACTTTCTCCTCTCCGCATCGGCTGCAGGATGAGTTCTGCTGTCCTTGCCTCAATTGTTGTCTGTTGTCTGTTGACTGGTTGGTTGCTCGCCTCGCTCGGCGTCTGTGCTGCTTGTCTCTCTCATCAAAATCCAGTTTAAGATTTTTGATTTAATTTTGTTTGCTTGTCGGTTTCCTGATGCACGTACCATGCGCTTCAGGTTGGCTCTCGGCATTCGGCATCGTTCCGTGCAGTTGTTGCCCCAAACGAATTTATGTGAGACAATCAAAAGGTTGCCTTTGACACACACGCACACACGCACACAAACACATTCACAAACTTGGTATGAAGTGCTTATCAAGTAGTAAATATGAAATGCTAATTTTAGATGAAGCTGAGCATTCTCTTCGGAAATGCCATCACACGCTGCTTATCTTGTTTAGCCGGTTTCATGAGTAAATCTGTGATTAGTAAATAACTTGGATTATTCTACTCGAACACCTAACTTTAAGAATTATTTGCAGTTATCCTAGGAATATATAGCTGCTTTGACTTTCGTCACTTGTCAAAGCAAGTCCTTTATATAACAATGGAAGCCCTTTCACTTCTCTTTGTCAGGGTCTATTAGCGGCTAACCAAAGCACACGCAAAATGTTTACACTTCACTGTCGCTTATTTAAAATCAATGTAAATTCACTTCAATTCACAGCAGAAATAGTGAGTGAAACAGAAAAAAAAAAGAAGGAAAATCAGCAATAAACAACACCAACAAGAATTGTAAATGAAATCAGAGCAAATTAGTTGTAATTGAATTGTTGCCTACTTTGCACGCGTTTTGCTCTAATCGCCTTAAAGCGAGCAGCAGGGGCAGAGCCAGAGCCAAAGGCAACAAGAACTTGTTGATTACCGACGACCCAGACAGGTGATCAACAACAACAACAACAGCAGCAACAGCAGCAACAGCAATAATAGTTGGAATGGAATGTCGAGTTCAAGTACACGGACTGGTCAGAGGCGGTTCTGTGGCCCTTGTAGTGCACGCCTCATATCGCATTTGTAGCTTCTGCATGTATTTGCCACGCCGACAAAACGGCCAAACGAATACAAATATTTGACGTTTTAGTCTAATTAAATTAGCTCAAACCCAGCGCTGGCCCTCGGGAAATCGGTATAAATTTCTGCGTTCCGGCCAGGTGGCCAAACGCAGTTCAAAATTCGCAAAAGCCGGCGCGTAACGCAACACAGTGTGCCACAGTGCGGCTAGCAGAGCGCTACAATGTTTATTCGTAACTGTGAATATTGAAAAAAGAAAAATAAAAAACATAAAAGAAACAAAAATGAAATAATATTATACATGCAATTGCTATGCACGTGAGGAATATAAAAAACTGCTATGCGTCTTAACGTCTGCAATACAAAAGTTAAGCCACAATATTTTTACCTCTAAGCCACATGAAATTCCATTGTCCATTGTGCGGTCGCGCTGAACAATTGCACACGTTTTTATGCGCCAGAATGCAAGAAGTAAGTGGCTTAAGTGTCCGAGCGACCAAGTGAATTATGTGCGACCGAGCAGGGGCAGCAGGGAGGCACACATAGAAGGACACTGAGCGCAATAGCAACCGAATTGAAAAAAATCACCGAACAAAGCTGTTGCCGGTCATTGTCTGTACATACACATCGGTGTGCTAGTGTGTGCGTGTGAGTGAGTGTGTGGTGCTTATTTAAATTGAGTACTAACAAAGCCTGCGAACGAGGCAAAAACAAAAACTGCTGAGGCTTAAGTTGAAAAAACTCCAGGCATAAACATGAAAATATTTTTAAAACAGGTATTAAAAGCCCCAGAAAGCAGACATGCCCCCGACCATTAGAAACGGTCAATTTCATGAATTTAACACCCTCCAATTATTGCTTAGATATATAAAACAGTTCTTAAATGTGAAATTTCGCTTTTTAGTGCCCGAGAATATCATTAAATGTTGTTAAATATTCATATGACAAATTCCAAAATTCCAACACTCAGTAGGCTAAAATTGTGGTGGGCTTTAGTTATTGAAAACGTTGTTAGAAAAACAAGAATTACTCAAAAGAGTTTTGTGTGCACGTCGAATGATAAGAGTATTTACCCACTGAGCTAGCTGAGCTCAATGAACTTGGAGTGACTAAGTGTTTATAGAGCATCCCAAAAAAACGTATGCGACCAACAAAACTGTTATCTCAGCATACTCTTAGCATATACCATTACTAAGAAGTTGGGATTAAATAAAAGTGACTCGATATATTATTAAACTGGTCTTCATTGCAATAATTGTAATAGACCATTCTTAGTTGTCGATGTCAGGGCAATCTTAGTTGCGCTTCCTACTAAGCGAACACACCCACACAGCCGAGCCATCAGCTGACGCTGCGTATATATCAGCTGTGTTTGCAGATAAAAATAAATTTATGATGGCAGTTTTATGTGCTTCCTTGTCGGCAAAAGGAAAGAATTAAATGAACTATATGCATGTTAAGTGACAAAAAAGTGCGCCAGGCGCACTTATAATTCTATTAACTTAATTAAACAATGCAATTGTTGGCTTTTGTCCGGCAGCTCCGCAGCTTCGCACATACCTCCTGCTGCTCGCTTCCAGCGGAAGTGTATTTTTTTTTTCAAGGGAGGCCATATAAATTTGCATTGGCTGGCTATTTATTTTTTTGTGCCACTGTGAAAGCCCTTCAAAGGCAAACGCTCTTAAAAAATATGTATAAATTGCAAAGTTTGTTTTAAATAAATATTTATGCATTGATTGGACAATTGCGAAAGTCAACATGTTAATTAATTGAAGTAAGAGATTTCATATTTTGATGTGCGAGTTAAGCTCCGACGCGAGCTATAACTAAAAACAATATTTCGTTTATGAATTAAGTTATTTGTGAAATAAAACACTTGGTGGCCAGCGGGCGTGTGTAAACAAATGCAGTTATAAACAAATGCAACTGCACAGCTAAAGAAAAACAAAAACACAAAAATCAAATTGAATTGCGAAACAAGCTGCGTGTAAAATGCAAATGTGAAATTCGAAATTGAAAATTCGTAAGACAAAAAAGAAAAAGTGTGAAAGTGTTACTTGTGGTTTTTCAATAGAACAATACATATGATACTAAGAAAGAGAAAGACATCAAAATGAACACGGAATACAAAAATAAATAAAAGTATCACAAAAATATGTGAAGTGTAAAACTAACAGCTGGACATTTCTATACGAAAAAAAAAAATAAAAATATTTAAACACATATGTACATTATAAAATATCCAAAAAATAATTATAGCCTAATGAAATGAAGACCAAAAAATAAAACAAAAACCTAAATAATAATGATAATAATAATAATAAATGTTATAAATAAATAAGCTAATAATCAAGTATATATATAAACTAAACGCTTAGAATAATGAAAATCTTAAATATTAAGAAAATTATTTGTAATATTTTCCATGTGACTACTTCTCCCTTCCAATTACATTTAATTCCTTTACAGTAACTCCATCAATTTACTTGCAGTTGAAAATTGCTCAAAAATTAAATGCATAAAATTGTCGAAGAACTTAAAACAGCTTAGCTGAGTTCAGGCAAAAACTGAATAAAATAAAAATAAATTAAAATTATAAACAGCTTAACGGACACTGACCAAATACCATAAACCAAGACAAAAACCAGCTGCATACCCACACACGCACACATATACAGATGAGTGCTACATGGAGTTCTGGAAACAAGTGTGATCAAAAAAAGTGAAAATAACTTCACTACAAAGTTGCAGCCAGAGGGGCTTAGTGTTTGCGAGTTTTTGGTTTGGCTTTTGGGCTGTGAGCGTGTAAGTGTATGAGTGTGCGTGTGTGTGTTAGTGTGAGTGTATCACTGTGTATGAGTGTGAGTGTGCTTAAGCCCATGCGTTGACAAGCAGCTGCAAAAAGAGAAACCTGCAATAAATGAGCTTTAGAACTTTTCTCAAGCAACACAGAGACAAATAAAATACAAGTCGCTTTTTGTTAAGTGAATTACGCCCTCACACATCCATACATACATATATAGACAAAGATATCATAAAACAGTGATAAGCATGGGTCGCAAGAAGAGGCAACCGATGGGCGTAAGTATTCAATAGTAGTTGCTCGACTATTGCAAGTAACAAGCAGCTGCCAGCTTCTATTTGCATATTACGCATACGCCGCATTGCGCGCGTATGAGCTAGTGACTGCTGCCGGCTCCTGGTGGCTGCTGCTGCTACCGGCTACCGACACTTAGTTTAAACGCTCCAAAAGGCACATTTCATTTCCATGCCATTTAAGTGGTGCGAATAAAGCAACCGCTCAGCCAAGCAACCAACCATCCAACACTTTGCACTTAATTTCCCTATATGTTTACGTTTATGTTCTTCTCTTATTTTTATTTATTTACACCTGCGTGTACTTTCACATACTGACTCTGTATATTTTTTCAATTTTTTTTTTTTTTTGCTTTTGTGGCTCAGTTGCCGCCCGGTGGCGCCCCTAAAACTGTGGGCGGCTGTTGTGTGCCGCTGGGATTACCGCAACCTTTGCTGCTTGAGGAGAAGAAATTCTTGTTGGCTGTCGAGCGTGGCGATATACCAAATGTTCGCAGGTGAGTACCATGCCATGCCGCGCAATGACGTTGCGCTTCTTCTTCCACCTTTTTTTTTTACAGTGCTACCAAATTTGCGCCTGTTTTTTAAATGCTGTGTCGGGGGACGCGCAGGTGTCGATGGGTCGTATCCGTATCCGCGTTTCGTATCCCTCGACGCGATATGCGATATACGGGAAACGTATAAATCCTATCGCCACGAAGGCGTGTGTGTCTGTATGTCAGTCTCACGTGTATGTGTGTGTGTATGTGTCTGGCTGTGTGTTTTGGGTGGTTTCAATTATTTGCATAGCTGCCTGTTTGTTTGCCCTGGGGCATATCTTGCGTGCCACTTAATAAGCAATATGCGGAAACGAGTCCTGTTTGCCATTTCATGCCATTTAAAATCGCATTTTAATAAATTTACAATTAATTTCGTTCTATATTTAAGAGCGCAGACACCATGTTGAGTGGCCAGAGCATTTAAAGTGCCATGCAATAATATCTAATTACATATTTATCAAATTTCCAATGAGGTTAAATGAAATTTCATTTATATTTCATTTGATTGGATGTGTTGAGTGCCAGGGGCACTTTTAAGCAAAAGCTTAAAAAAAAAATAAATAAATAAATAAATCTTATATTGGATTGTTATATTACCTGTCTTAGTTTTTTTTATAGTTATTTTAAGTTGGATAACTCAATAAATAGCTCGACAGATTTATTAGTTATATGATTGCAGGAATTATGGTTTGTACGTCAATGGGTTATACGTTTAAGGGTTGTTTCGTTTCTTAATATATTAATAACCAAATCCAACAAAGCTCACTCGCTCTCAATATGTCTACTATTCTATATATTATTCTAATATTAATAATCTTTTATAAAATCAGAGCAAATATGTTTTTTTTTTTTTTTTGCTTGTATTAAACTCTTGGGCCGATTTAAAAAATTATTTACCAGTAGAATTAGTGCATTTCTGAAGAATATAGGTGATATAATAGAGTACGAAATCTCTATAGACGAGTAACAACTCAACATAAGGAAAAATAATAACCTTATATGCTTTAGTTTCCCAAATTTGTTTTCTACATTGTGTTTTCAATTTTGTATTTATATCTATATATATAAAAGAGAGTTGTATAAAAGTGTCTTAGCACTTATAACTCGAGATCTGCTGGACCAATTTTCATGGTTTTTGATTTGTTGGATTTGTCTCCGCCACGAGTAGGTCAGTAGATCTTTAAAATACTGAAAAAAATTTGACGAATACTTGAAAAACGCGGTTTTTTCCCTAAAGATTCAAATTTCCATTTATACTCAGTAGCCTTGACAACAGTGACAGTTTCGGTCCTGTATAGAAGTAAATAAACAAATGTAGTCAGTCAGTCTACGGCACAGCCTCGAGCAGACCTGACTATTCAACAAAAAAAAAAAAAAAAAAAAAAACTATTAAAAAAAAAAAAAAAAAAAAAAAAGACTATTCAAAAATAAAATAAATAAATAAACAAACAAAAAAAAAAGTTTTTCCAAATCAAAAAGAAAAATATTTCAAATCAAAAATCTGAAAGAATTCAAAAAAATCAAAAGATTAAAACCTGACTGTTCAAAAAATAAATAAAAAAATCAAAATTCGAAATTCAAAAAAAAAAAAAAAGTTAATTATTAAAAAGTGTATTTTTGGCTTTTTATATTTTTGGACTTTTAAACTTTATAAATAATAATTGTGCGCGTGCGTACAAAAGCTAAATATCTCGAATGTTCAGGTATTTGTTTGTCTCAAACATAAATTTGTGTAAATTATTTATATTTATATTTCTCGATTGTTTTATATGGTTTTGTGCGAGGGCAGTATTACTATTAATAAAAATACCGCGTCCTAGAAGATCTAATCTTTCCCGGCGGACCCATAATGCAATTAGGCAACGGAATATCGCGAGTCAATTATCTGACGAAGAGCGAGAAATCGCCCGAGAAAGGCTCCGCGTTAGTACCCAGCAAAGAAGGGCCTTAATTCATGCTTCTCAAAGAGAGGCAGCCCGTGAAATGGCAATAAGAAATGGTTCAAGGATTGATTTGAATCGATAAGCGTTTCGATATGATTGCACCATTGACTATAGCTTGAATCGTTTAGTTTGCATTGGTCCAATGGACGTTGTTTGCCAGCATTGTGGCGCATTGAAGTTTGCTGGTGAAACGCCCGGTTTGTGCTGCCTTAGTGGTAAAGTGACATTGCCATTAGTGGTCCCGCCACCAGAGCCATTGCGTTCCCTACTTTTCTAGCGAGCACTCAAAAATACAATGCCTGTTTCCAATTCGGGGCAGAGACAAATCCAACAAATCAAAAACCATGAAAATTGGTGCAGCAGATCTCGAATTATAAGTTTTGTAACAAACTCTACTTTGTTTTATATATATAGAGACTGTTAGGCGGTACGAAGTTCGCCGGGACAACTAGTATTTATTATAATTTACTAATTTTTATTTATTTTATGATTTTAGGAAATACCAAATAAATATATTATATTTTGTTTTATATATTTGTTAGTCTTACAAAAATTAGATATTAAAAATAAAAATTAAATCAACAAAAATAGAAGGAAAAATACAATAAAATAAATAATAATAATATATCGAAACTCTTATATATACATATGTACAATCAAAAGTTTAATCTTAATAAATTTTTCCCCAATATTATACAATCAATTCACGTGTAAAGCCGGTTTGGGCTCTTGTTTTAATTTTCCGTCTTAGGTAGGCGGACAGACTGACAAAATCAACAATCATCTCAACTTTGAATAGGCAATTGAGGATAAAGACTGAAAGAACTCGTCTCTAAACTGCAGAGGTGTCCAAACTCAAATAGCTTAGAAGTAAGAATTAATCAGAGTTGTCGTTTAAACAATTACTAAATATTGATTTATTTACATTTATTATTTGTCAACATCTTTACTCCTCCAATTTTTAAAAATAAAAATAATACCATTGAAAATGTTATACCACATATCGTTTAGCACCTTTCGTTCCAAACAGTCAATTTAATATTTTCGCTAGACCCTCAACATTAGACCCAAAAACCAAAAGCCACTGCTCGGTTATATAACCATTTATGAACAATCATCAATCGTTTTAAACATGAAAGAGTACAAGCATTAAACACATTTGATCCTGTGTGTGCTCTGTGTTAAATATGAAATCATAAAAGTGTAAAAACATCGAGTCATTTGGGAGGGGGCGGGCAACAGACTCTCAACGTGTAGTGTAGTGTAGAGCACGGTGTTGATATGGTTGTAGCGGTGTCTTGTTGATGCTGTTGTCGTTGTTTTTCTTCTGAGGCGGTTTGCTGTTGCCTAATTGTTTTTTTCGTTACTTGTTGTAGGTGCTGGTGCTCCAGCTGCTGCTGCTGATGTAGTTGATATGGTTTTTCTTTTTTTGTTGTTTTTTTACATTTTTAAATTAATAAAACGATAGGGATTGTAGCTTTTCATCTCGTCCAAGGTGTAACGGTAGTGTGCCTTGGAGGGCTCCTCTTCGGAGCCAATCGAGTCATCCTCCTCCTCGCGCTGCACTCGAATGCCCTTCAGCTGGCAAGCGCGACGATAGAGCTCCTCCTCGCGATCCTTGTAGAACTGCCAGGAGATGCGGCTGAACGCGGGCATTTGATTGAACTCTTGTCCAGCTCCATTCGGTGGAACGGCAAACCAATTTGCGCCACCTAATTTGACTGTTTGCGTTTCTAATTGATGGATGGGTGGGTGGATATAAATGGATGGATGTATGGACACACCCGTTTGTTTATTTAACAGCCGGCTGTGGGGTATTCGGCACTCACCCTTGTTCTTCTGTGCCATTTTAATGACCAAGCCTTGATCCTTAGTAGCGTCCATACTAATTGTTATTATATTTTTTTTTGTTTCTTATTGATTTGGAATAGGTTTACAAATAATTTAAGTGCCAAAACAGTTTGTTTTATTCGGCGTTTTATTCAATATATATTTCGTTTTTCTTTGAATTTTTTACAACAATTTATGTTGACGAACAATTGTAAAATGAATATTCGAGATATGTGCTGCAAGGTAACTAAACTGAAATTTTGACAGCTGCAAGTCAAAGGTAACTACGTTGACTGTTGTGTTAATCGAACAGTGTTGCAAAATGCACCATCGGAGTAGCTCACTACAGCTTACCAACACTGTAGACCGATATCAGGAATTTGTTTTGAAATTGAAATTGAAATTCTTTATGATTTAATTTTTTTACAAGCTTTTCCATATTAAATTTGACTCTATTTACAGCCCCAACTAGTTGCCTTTTGTAAAAACAAAAACAAATACCGAGTACCCAACAAAGTTTGAGTGCTTTTATGGCACTCGATTGATTGGCAAACTTTCCGCTGGAGTCGCATATAATTAAAAACTTTGAGAGCCGAAGAATAACGCAAGAGCAAAAGTTATTCCCGGCCGCTTCTGTTTTCCAATAATTTGCTTATTTTTTCTTCTCTTAGCCAATTGATTTTAATTATTTGCCACGCCCACTTGTGGGGCACCTTTCTTTAGGATATTGCAAAAGGCGCTGCGGCAGCAGCACATCAACATCAACTGCATGGACCCGCTGGGTCGGCGAGCCCTCACCCTGGCCATCGACAACGAGAATCTGGAGATGGTGGAGCTGCTGGTTATCATGGGCGTGGAGACAAAGGATGCCCTACTGCATGCCATCAATGCAGAGTTCGTTGAGGCCGTTGAGCTGCTGCTCGAGCACGAGGAGCTCATTTTCAAGGAGGGCGAACTCTACGTAAGTAATACGACTGACGACTGACGACTGGCGACCGACTCCAGCTTCCCACTTTTCTTATCATGGCCATACATAGCCTGGTGCTACACTCAGCTAATTTGTGGCACACATCGAGTGGCTCTGCTTTCAGTGGCTGCTCGAAACTGAAGCTAACACGATTTTAATCAGTTTTGTGTGGCCTCGTTAGGCACGTACATGACAGACGCTCAAGTGATTGGGAGTGTGCGATAAGCGAGCCAATGCTTCCGCCTCCGACTGTTCCTATATGCCACATACAGTATGCCCGATAATCCCGCCTGTGTGCCTGCTTATCTACATTATACACTTTCATTGGCTGCCATAACTTTCTTGTTCTATATATCATATACATATGTATGACTCTGCTGTAAACTATTTGTATTATATTTATTTTGAACTAACAGTTTAAAGCACATCTACTAATTTAAAGCTAACTTTGATTACTTCTCATATAACTTGTATTGTGTTCAATTTAAAGGATCATGTAAAGTCTTTTACGATCGCTCATTATACTAAATATATTTTTGTTTATTTATTTGTGTGTTGTATATATATTTTGCAGACTTTATTTCGAGCTCAATATTTTATTTTCCACTAGGCTAAGTTCGTTTTGTATGATATATACTTTTGAGCTTTTAATTTGTTTATGTGATATTTTCATTAAAAAAAAAAAAAAAAAAAAGATGTATTTCGAATATCTTTCAAATTATAATTTAAATGAAAATGTACAATAGAAAATTGAGCTGCTGTAAAATGATTTAAGTTCATGCTTCAATGAGTTCGAAGGGTTGGACGAGGTATTAGCAACTCCTAGGTTAACCAATTTAGGATCATTTTCATCTGTCAAGCCCTTAAGCGTATTTAATCTTCGGCTCTGACTATTTAGTGTTCTTCTCCTGTTGAAAATAAAGATTGAGTGTGGGCACGCTTATTCCTAGTCTTCTGCCCCTCTCACACATACAGACACACACACATATATATACATATTTATGCACATATGAGCGCACGCTTCATTAAGCAGCCATTGGACGCAGTTGAAGCGTGAAAATTACAATTGTAACTCATATGCAATAAAACGTTTAATGAGGCCAAAATATACACTTGAAAACTGAGTGACTTCTTGAGTTGGCGCAACTTAACCTTAACTGTAATGTGAATAACTTTCGCAGAGCTGGCAGAAGGTGGACATCAACACGGCGATGTTTCCGCCGGATATAACGCCGCTGATGCTGGCGGCGCACAAGAATAACTTTGAGATATTGCGAATACTGCTGGATCGAGGGGCCGCCGTGCCAGTGCCCCACGACATACGGTAAGTTGGCCCCGCCTCTGGCGAGCTGCCATTAATCTTGGCTCGTTTAGCTGCGGCTGCGGGGAATGCGTGCGTCTCATGGCTGAGGATTCGTTGCGGCATTCGCTGTCACGCGTCAATATCTATCGTGCGCTCTGCAGTCCATCGCTCATTTGCCTCACCTCGAGCGATCCCATATTGACAGCCTTTCAGCTGTCCTGGGAGCTGCGCAACCTGGCTTTGACCGAGCAGGAGTGCAAGCTGGAGTACATGGACTTAAGGCGTCAGTGCCAGAAGTTTGCCTGCTGCCTGCTGGATCAAACACGTTCTTCCAATGAGCTGGCAATTATACTAAACTATGATCCCACTATATCCAGCTATGAGCCGGGAGATCGCATGAGTCTCACGCGCCTTGTGCAGGCCATATCCTACAAGCAGAAAAAGGTAAGAAAATAATTCGATAATCAATGTGAGACGCAAAATTTGCCGTTCAAAGTCTTTTTGGTTAAGTATTCTATTGTAGTGTAAATACATTTTTGCATTACAGAGAGATCATTCTTATATCTGACTGATTATACCCTGAACCCATTGAAAATGGGAAATCAGGGTATAATGGTTTTGTGAAAAGTATGTAACAGGCAGAAGGAATCATCGCAGACCCCATAAAGTATATATATTCTTGATTAGGATGACGAGCTGAGTCGATATAGCCCTGTCCGTCCGTCCGTTCGTCCGTATGAGCAAAAGGATCTCAGAAGATATAAGAGCTAGAGAGCTGAAATTTAGCATGTATACCATAGGCAGTACAAGTTTATCATATTTTTTCGATAACTCGTCCGATAACTTTTTTATCGAGAATAATCGAAAAATCGACTTGGTTTTTTCAGCCTAATTTGAACACTTTTAGACCTGGAGATTTCAAATTTGCATTGTATATAAAGTTAATGGATACAACGATTTTGTAATTTACAGATTTTGGATACCACGCCCCCTTCGCCCCCAATTTGTAAAAACGCATTTCAAGTACTAGAGACTTGTGCTTTGGAACGTACACACAATTTAAGCATATAATTACGCTCTAAAAGTTTCATTAAGATTGTATGTCTACAAGAGAAATTATTTAACAAATAAATTCTCATTGCAGCGCAGCCCAAGCGCAGCCGCTGCTTACTGCGCAGTTAGCAGAGCGCGTGCTTATAAGTGCATGTGTATGTATGTGTGCATAAAAGAAGTCCAGAACGATTAGAATATCAGCTTGGAGGGTTTAGGGTATCTCCTAGTCGAGCAGTCTCGACTGGAGCCTTCTTACTTGTTTTATCTTCAAAAATACATATCGTATATCAATTGTGTTTCTCGCATGTCCCTCTAGAGGGTCCAATTAGACTTTTAGTATTTATATATTTGCACATATGAATTTTATATTAATTGTAAGCAAATTAATTTTATATACCCGAACTGTAGAAGTCCTCGCATTGTTTTATGAAAAATAAAACTTAAAAACTTAGTTTGCCTACATAGTGACTCTATATCAATATATTATGCACATTTAAGAACGCTGATCAGTTCGGGTGTAAGGTATTTCCCAGTCGGACACCCAGGCTGAATCTTACTGGTTTTAATCTGAGCTTTGGCTGTTCACATGCTCAACAATCTGAGATAATGCACAGTTGCCAGTAAACCGCTTTGTATCTTACATAGTCTATTGTATCGCGGGGAAGCTATTGAATCGCAAAGATACTTTTGCAGCGCAGAGGCGCCATTGTGTGCTGCGGCTACTTTTGTATCTGAAAGACGTACTTTGTTTTTAATGGCCGCATGTCCATGCCGTTTCAACATCTTGTTTGCAGTTTGTGGCCCATTCGAACATCCAACAATTGCTGTCATCGATTTGGTACGATGGACTGCCCGGGTTCAGGCGCAAAGGCATCGTCGACAGATTCATCTGCATAGCGCAGGTGGCTCTGCTGTTTCCGCTCTACTGCTGCATCTATATGTTTGCGCCGAACTGTCGAACGGGTCGACTGATGCGAAAACCGTTTATGAAATTCCTCATTCATGCGTCTTCCTACGTGTTCTTTTTGTGTGAGTATGGGGAGGGGCAAGCGCCAATTGGGGTCGTGGGTCAAGTGAACCGTTTATGCTGTAATAAGAGGAGCAGAGTCGGAGCCAGAGCCAGAGCCAGAGCTCATATCCTGACTGTTTACCTTGCAGTTATCCTCATATTGGTGTCTCAGCGGGCGGACGATGATTTTGTGCGGCTCTTCGGCACGGCTCGCATGAAGGCTGAGCTGGCTGAGCAGGAGCAACGGCAGCGAGGCCAGGCACCCAGCAAACTGGAGCTGCTTGTGGTGCTCTATGTGATTGGGTTCATGTGGGAGGAGATCCAGGAGATTTTCGCCGTGGGCATGCAGAACTATTTGCGTAACATGTGGAACTTTATTGATTTTCTGCGCAACAGCCTCTACGTGAGTGTCATGTGCTTGCGGTAAGTTCACGTTCAACTGTGAGCGTCAGCCAACAGCTAACTATTCGTAATGCACCCCGCAGCGCCTTCGCCTACATTCAGCAGGCGACGGAAATCGCGCGAGATCCGCAGATGGCCTTCATTCCGCGAGAGAAGTGGCACGACTTTGACCCACAGCTGATTGCCGAGGGTCTGTTCGCGGCGGCGAATGTCTTTTCCGCCCTCAAGCTGGTGCACTTGTTCAGCATCAATCCGCACTTGGGCCCGCTGCAAATATCGCTGGGGCGCATGGTCATTGACATCGTCAAGTTCTTCTTCATCTACACGCTGGTGCTGTTCGCCTTCGCCTGTGGGCTGAATCAGCTGCTCTGGTACTTCGCGGCGCTGGAGAAGAGCAAGTGCTATGTGCTGCCCGACGGCGAGGCGGACTGGGCCTCGCATGGCGACTCCTGCATGAAGTGGCGACGCTTTGGCAAGTCAGTCCAGTCATTCAGTTAATTAGAGGGCGTATGTAATCCTAAC